AGCAGGAATCTAACTTCTAGTAATCAAATAAAACTAAGGAAACTGCCTTTCCGTAGCTAAATGTCTAATGTCTAGGGGCTACTTTTCTGTCTGGAAAATTGACACAAAATGTGTAAAATTGAAACATTCTGCTTCTAAGGGATTTGCCTAAAGGAAGAGCGAGAAAGCTTCAAGCGTGGTCTGAACTGAAGAACTACAAAGGCTTACCACATAAACCTGTCTTCCTTATTAGAGCATTTCATTTGGAAATGTAGGTGACAATTTTACAGTCATAAAATTAATGAAATCTAAGACTGAGCATTTTAATGATGCATTTTGCGTTCCTCTGGATACATAAGGTCAACTTCAGAGTCCATCAACAGTTTTGAGATTTTTAACAAAACAAATCTCAGTCAAATTATTTGAACTTTGTACCGCAACTGTTTGGGCAATTCAGAAACAATTTCATGTAAACCCAGAAAGTATTATTCCTACTGCAAACTGCAGTGATATTTAGAAACAATACCCAGAAGAATTGAGTCTCCTTCTATTATTCAAAAGTGAACACTGAAGTTTCTACTGCTCCACTTCAAATCTCAACTGGCAAAATTATTACTTAAATTAAAATATAAAAAGTAAAACTAGAAGAAAGGATCCAGTATAGTATGGAAGCACAACAAGGTATATTACAATATTCCTATTGTTGCACCCCTCGTTCTTACAGCGCTGCATTAACTTAACAGTTTGTGGAGAGGGAGGAGGTGACACAGCAGGATTCACATCAAAAGTTTCACAAAGCAGACATGCAATTTAAAGAAAAAACAAAACACAACAAAACCTGCAAAGGAATCATGGAAAAGATCTGGAGAATAATTCAAGATTTATTTTCTCATCTTACTATGGTTTTCTACTTCCTTGCACTTTGAATTTGGCAACTGCAGTCAAGCTCTGCATGATCATTTTAAACAATACTGTATCACAACTAAGTTCTTCAAACAAAAATGCCTGAGACAGCTACCTTGCAGGACTTTTGTTTCACTGTATAAACATACAGAGAACTTGAGCAAAACATTCTGATTTGGGAGGAATTCTGTTTACACAATTCATATAGATGTGTAAATAAAACATTAAAAACAAAACCAAACAAAACCATAAAACTTACAGAAGAATTTTATACGTAGAAGTATCTTTTATGTTTTAAAGTATTCAGTTTAAAGCAAGACCATGTGGCTGCAAATTTAGAGATGATTTCCTTTAATTAGAGTTTCAGATGAAGAATGAATTACAGAGAAAAGTTTGATAAACCACAAGACTTAAACCTTAAAGCAGCTTCAGCTTGCTGGTGTAAAACCTGAGGATAAACAGCCTTTTCTTCAGCTCATGGTTAAGAATCCCATTAAGCGGTTCAAATCCTCTCTCTTTAGCAGAGCTGGCATAGGTTAACACAAGGCCTGGCACCATCCACAAAAGACATTCAGAAGAGAAAAGATATGTCCTGTTCCTCACTCATCAGTTTACCCAAATTTCTACAACTTCCTTCTCATCACTTTGACTGGCTTCTTCCAGTTCTTCTTTTCAAAGATTCTTACTTAGAAATTAGTTATTTATGACCACTTCATTTAGTTAATATTTCTGTATTTGCTTGTCTCTAGTTGTCTTTTTTAAAGGCCTAGTCAGCAATCTTCATATATTCTTCTTGTTTTAGGCGATAGATAGATAGATAGATAGATAGATAGATAGATAGATGTGCATATGTAAATATGTAGTTAGACGTGGTATTTACCATACCATACCATTCAGCTATGCATTGTAAATATGAAATTGTCACAATAAAAGCAATAAAGGCAATGCCTTGATTATGGTTCAGAGAAAAATTATAGCTTGCCACTTTTTATTTTCCTAGTTATTTCTACTAAGTAACAGACCATTGACTAATCTTTAGCTGACGGCTGTCTGTGGGGAAATGTCAAAAGAAATACACAAGTTTACACCAGCAGAGAATTTGCATCCTTTGATTTGCAGCACTACATATAGTATTTAGATGTGCATAATTGATTATGCATAACTAACTGATTATTTGTTATTATAACATTAGAAGACAGCCAGATAATATTTAGAGTACAAGTAAAAAAAACTGTTTCTAGATTGGTGAGAGAAGAAAAGGTTAACTCCAAAAAATAAAGCTAAAAGCATATATATCCTCTCTTTGGGCCTTAACAAGACATATCAACAAAAGGCATCACAGAGAAAAGGGTTAAGTATTATACACTCCAATAACCCACAAATTAAATCTTGCTGAAATATTGTTAAAGATTTATTGTCACAGAATGTCAATTAATGTCCAGAATAAAATATTTTCCTTTTGCTATTTTCAATATATGGTAGCAATTATTATTTTTTACAATAGTATAGCAAATACTTGCTTTTAAATTATTTGCCCAAAAACATGCAGTGTACTGGCTCTCAACATTACTTTGGAATCTGTTCAAAAGCTCACACAAGTCTTTAGGTGGTATTTCCAATAATTTGAAGCACTACTCTACAATTTTCTTTTTTCCCTTTCACGTGTTCTTTTACAAGTCGATGTCGGGTTTGTCTCCCTAACTCATGTGATCTGTCCTAATGACACCTCCCATGCCTGCCCTACTTTCACATTGTCCAAATACCTAATAGTCTTCTTTTCTCAACAAACTCTCCAAGGTGCCCCTCTGCTGTCAGTGGGTTTGGTTCTTTGGCAGCATATGGCTCCTCTTTCACCTTGTGCGTGGGGATTCTCACTTTGAAGACAACAATACTTCAATCTTATTCTTCTCATGTGCTGCTGAACTGGATAGTCCCATTTCCTCTGTGGGCATTACAGGCTGCTAGGCTCTTGACTGAAGTGGCAAATTTGCCATTTAATTAAAGCATTCTGCATTTTCAATAATTTAATTAAAAGGGTTTTAGGACAGCTAAACAATTGGGTTTTTTCCATTACCAAAACAATTACCTTATGGGAGAAAAAAGAAAAAGCAGAGGGAGAAAAAGTATTTCACTGGGGTCAATTTCTCCATTGTCATTACCTCTTCTGCAACAAAGCAGCATGCTTTTTATTGAGAATTATCTGGCTCTGGCGTTTCTTGTATTAGATAGAGTTTAGCCAAAGAACATGGAAGAGACACCCAAAAATCATATTTCCAAGGAGAGGAATACAGAATAGTACACTTTATTGTTAAATTGATTGGATACTTCTCAAAGATCTCATTAGAAAGTTAAAATATCCACATAATATTCAAAGCCTCTAGAGCTGCAGTGTACTGTTCTCTGCTTTTAAGCAGAGATTTCATGTTATTTTTAGTAGAATTATTTAGCCTCACATAAGAATACCATCACATGGAGCTTGGGAACACTTTTCATGTAAAATCAATGGTAACACTGTTGTAGAGAAATTATACCCTGATAGAGAAATAAAACGCATTAGCAGAGAATTTGCAAAAGAATTTTTTCTTATATTTTTCTTATATTCACTCCTTGACTAATTTTTTCTGATACTGACTTACCTTAGAATACAGAGGCAGACTTTGCCTCCTGACGTCAAACGGCAAAATCCAAACCTTTGCTTACTTTCAATGTCGGTGAGCACGAAGGTAAAATGCTGTCCTACTTGGTTTTGGGACACCCTGAGAAATGAGATACAGAGCATAAAATCACTAAATCACATAAAATATGAGCATTTAAGTCATTGATGTCAAGCATTTTCATGCTGAAGCCTTGCTGTCCTTCTCTCCCTTCCCATCATCCAAGCTGCCTCGTGCACCCCACTCCCTCCCCTCGGCACAGAAGAGCCCAGGTCCTTCCTTCAGCCATGCCTCTGGCTGCTGCCTCAGCCTTGTACTCCACAGGGTCTGGACCCCAGTCTAAATAGATGGGGTATTTCATAAGGTCTTTTCCAAAGTATGGCCTAAACAGAGCCAGAACAAGCCTGATACAGCTTATCGGCTTTGAGGACACCTCAGCAGGGTAAACCAAAACAAAGGTTTAAAATTCAACAAATAAATTGTTAAATGTCATCATACAGGCCTGGCTTAAGACAGCCATTAGAAAACTAGTTTGCTTCCCCGACATTGGTTAAACCTGTAGCCTTCCCATACACATCATCTTCCTCCCTTTTTTGCACTACACATTGTCCAACAAACAACTTTTTGCTAGGTTTCATTTTCAGTGCAAGCTTGTTCGGTTCTGGAAATGCAAAAGCCAAAAAATAAACAAGAATAAACAGCACGAGAACTAAAATAATAAGTAATATCTTCAAAACATGTACCCCACTTGAGACAGAATAAGTTTACATAAAATTTCCCTGCCTTTTCAATGTGGCCAGACTTCAGGAATCTTCCTAAAAATTGCAAAATATGTCTAATGTAACCATTTTATAATAGAATACAAACTGTATCTGAAGTTTACTCTCAGAAACACATATTGCACTTTCCCAAAATCTTCCAAAGAGAACCAACTTTAGGTAGACTTGGCATTTTCAGCCAGGAGAGGTAATGTGTGTCAAAGAATGAATCAAAGAATGGTTTAGATTGGAAGGGACTTTTTAAGATTTAATTAAAAACCAAATGAAAACCATGTTATGATGGGGAGTGCATGGAGATTTGGAAATATAAAATGTAGCAGTTCTGCCTGTAATTCTATTGCCCCTTGTTCTTTTCCCCTTCCTACATGATCTCCTACAGCAGAATACCTAAGCACCTGCTAGTAAGCGTTATGATTAATGTGTTGTGTGTGGTTCATTCTTAAGATGCCAAGATGAAAATGAATTCCCACAGAAGCTGAGAACCATCACAGATCTCACAGTCTTCCAGTTTAAGAGCACAAAGTATTTTATTAATTTATCCACTGCAATATGGATTGGGGTTTTTTTGTTGTTGGTGTGCATGTTTGGTTTTTTTTAAATCTCCACCAAAATAAAATATAAACATTTTCAACTAGAAAAAAAACAAGCAGAAAATGACAAAAGGGTGAGAGATGTTACAGGGGACACACGCATATCACACTGCTTAGCATGTGCAGGACAAAAGCTTAAAGATTAGTCAAGTAATACCACTACTCGGACTGTAGTATCCCACTCATTTCAGTTTGGTCTGCTTCCTCATGAACATCCAGTGACTAAGGCTGAAACAAAATGCTAAGCATATAATGAGATACCTTTACTCCAATATACTCACTGGAAATCCATGATAACTGATGGACTTATTTTAGTTAGATAAACATGCTCAAACCATTAAAACAAGTTATCTTCCTCACTTGTCTTCAACAGACTGGAACAACCAAATGTGCTCTTTAAACACAGCAAAGGCCCAACACCTTTCACTCAGTCCTTCATTTTTCGGGTTCTGCGCAGCTCGCATGCTGCCTGATTACACGCCTGTGATCATTATGCCTTATACAATAGGGAGCCATCCATAACAGCACATTATTGCTCCCCTACCAATGATGCAATTTTCCATTTCACATCTTTGCATTCCCCTCTTTATTCCCAAGAGCAGATCAGTGCTGAAGCCCACAGTATGGTTTCAGCACCCCTGCGCACGCTGCAGCCGGGGGCTTACACAGTAATGCAGCAGCAGCAGCAGCAGCTTGGTCACTAGCACCAGTGACGCACCAGACACAGCCACCTCGGCTGCCTTCTGCCCCACCGTCTCTGCTCTGCTGCATCCCACGTCAGGCTCAGAGCTGTCTGCAGACATGAGTGGCTTTTCCTTACACCACAAAATACCTGGCATAGTTAGGCTTGGGTCTCCGTGCACCATCTTAACCAAAAGTGATTGTTAATAGATGCCCATCTATGCAGGCATTGCTTTTAACATACTGTGTACAGGTATGTTTGGCAAATAACTACTCCATGACTGCTTGAAAATAACTCCTTAGCTCCAGAAAAATCACATCAGTCAGGATCTCTTGCTTTCAGTTATTTGCCTTCTGCCTTCCCAGACCTTGAAGATGACATGGGGAAAAAAACTGGTACTGCAATTCAATCATACATAAAAATGTCCCTAAACCGGACCACTTTAAAAATAAGATTTAAAATCTGATATTCTCTATTAAAAATAGCTCAGC